CACTGGTCAGTTTGGGTAGACTGACACCAAGCACATTTTAACATCATAAGTGTCAATTCGTGGAGCAGCTCTTACTATAGACAGATGGCTTCTCCTGTGCAGGCAGACAGTTCACACCACACGGGCACATGACTCCCACCACACAGGCACACCATTCACACCACACGGGCACACCATTCACACCACACGGGCACACCATTCACACCACACGGGCACACCATTCACACCACACGGGTACACGACTCCCACCACACAGGCACATGACTCCTACCTCAGAAGGGGACATTTCATACCACGTGGACTCACAGCTCACGCCACACAGACAAACAACTCCCACCACACAAACAGTTCACACCATGTGGGCACACAGGTCATGCCACACAGGCACACAACTCCTACCTCACAGGCAGACAGTTCACAGCACATGGACACACAGTTCACGCTACACAGACACAAAACTCACACCACACAGTTCACACCATGTGAGCACATAGGTCACACCACACAGGCACCCAACTCCCACCACACAGGCAGACAGTTCACACCATGTGGACACGCAGCCCATGCTACACAGGGACACGACTCCACCACACAGTTCACAACTCCCACCACACACAGTTCACAACTCCCACCACACACAGTTCACACCATGTGGGCACACAGGTCACGCCACACAGGCACACAAATCCCACCACACAGGCAGTTTGCACCATGTGGGCACATGACTTCAACTTCACAGGCAGGCAGTTCACACCACATGGGCACACAACTCCCACCACACAGACAGTTCACACCACATGGGCACACAGATCCCACCACACAGGCATACAGTTCATGCAGTGCAGTTCACACCACACAAACTGTTCATGTTACACAGACTAATGACTAACATCATGGGGGCAGATAGCTCACACCATACTGACCTATGACCCTGCCCCACTGCAAGCCTTGGACCATCTGGTCTCACCATGCTGCCTAATAAACTGTACCTTTGGGCAGAAGTTATTGGGGCTGACTGTGCTGGCTCAGAGTCAGGGCTAGGCATGTTTAAGGAGCTCAGGGGACATACTGCAGAGAACTAAGCAAGCCCCACCCACCTCCCTTTCTGGTCTTGGTTGGAGTAGTGGCACAAGGGCATTTGTGTCCTGGAAATGTACTGATGGAACCCCAGGCTTGGTTTAAAAAAAAACCCAAAAAATATGAACTATGACAATTGTTATAATAACTCAAAGCTTATTCTCTGCCTTTTTAAAGAGCCAGCATGGTGAATGGGCATCTGTGGGCTGGGAGTTATGTCCCCCCAGGTCACAGCAGATCTTCCTGTGTAGCTATTGAAGGTGAGGGCTGGGCGAGTGCTGCCTGGTGGCAGAGCCTGCTTGGTTCTGTTCCCGCTCAGCACTTGCTCTTCTGGTTTACAGCCTGTTGAAATGGCCAGACTGAGTCAGAGGGGCAGTTCTTGAGAGTCTTCACAGGATCGGGGTCAGCTTTTCGGATAAAAACCTCCTGACTCTCACAGCCAAAGACATGAGCTCCTTGTAGCTAATCCCTGAACTTAGTGTGGCCAGATGCTCGACCCTTGCCAGATTTCCTGAGAAAGGTATTGGCACCGGCAGCTGATTACAGATTCCATTTGTGATATGAAACAACAGTTCAGCTTTCTGTTAATCAAAAGGACACCTACTCCTTGGTTTTATGGCTCGTGTGCTCCATGTCCACACGTCACACCCACTGATGTAGGAAGAAGCCCTTGGCCACGAGGGCCAGGAGAGAATGATGTGCCTGATTGGTCTGGGAGGGCTGCTGGAGAGATGTGGATTTCAGAGGCCTTTGGGGGAGCTGGCTCCTATCCACAGGTCCCCTCCACATGGAGCAGTGCGTAACATGGGGAGTGTGGCGTTGAGATGCAGGATGGGTAGTAGCACTCACTGTCAGGTGAGTTGTAAGATCAGGTGTTATGGTGCAGTGTGTGGGCGTGGAGAACATGGACATGGGTATGTGGATGTGGGGTGGATGGGTGTGCGGTACATGGACAAGGATACATGGGTGTCAGGTATATGAATGTAGGGTACATGGATGTGGGGGTACTAGGCCTAGGGTGCATGGGCAGACATGGAGTATGTGGACATTGAATATATGGCCGGGATGTGTAAATGTGGGGAACGTGGATGTGGGGTGAGTGGGTACGGAGTACATGGTCATGATATGTAGGTGTCAGGTATATGAATGTAGGGTATGTGGACATGGGATACATGGATGTGGGGGTACTAGGCCTAGGGTGCATGCATGGACCTGGGGTATGTAGATACTGAATCTATGGACATGGGGTGTGTGAATGTAGGGTACAGAAATGTGGGAGTATTAGGCCTGGGGTACATGGACATGCGGGAATGAGGCCTGGGGTATATGGAGGTGGGATGCACACTTGAGTTGTAGAACAGATGGCGTGGTGCTGTCAGAAGTTGTCTAAGCTCTAAGCGCCCAACCAAGAATCCCCAGGGACTCAAGCCACAAAATGAGTCCTGTGGGAGGTACCCAGGGCTGAACTCGGGTTATCATCATGTGGGGGCACAGGTGGTAAGGGCTGAGCTGACTTCAGCCAGGACACTTGCTGTGGCATGTGTTCTAGAGACAATTTGGGCCAGGCCCCCATCCAGACTTTCAACTTCCCAGCCCACTGGTCAGTCCCCCCACCTCTCAGAACCCAAGATTTCTCAGTTCTCTCAGCCATCTACCCCAGATCACCTGGTCTCCTAAGGTCGCCAGCCCCATGGCCCCTTCAGTCTCTCAGATCCCAAACCCTCGACTGCTAGGCCTCCTAGTTCCCCAGCCCCGAACTCCCAAACCTAGACCCTCCCAGACCCCTCATCTCAGCAAACCTTTGGCCTCCCCACCACCAGGCTCTAGGCTCCCTGGTTTCCTGGCCCCCTAGACTACCCCATTACCCCGGTCGCCCATGCCCTCCTGGCTCCCTGATCCCTGTGCCTAGACTTTCTGAGAAGCCCTTCCTGTCCCACCCCCCAGATCTTTGGCCCCAGCACACCCCTCTCTGCTTTGTGAGTCGAGGGCTGGCCCTGTGCCAACAAGGGACTGCCTTTCTCCACATGCAGGTGCTCCTGTCCCAGACAAGCTTCAGGAATATTCTGTGCTGTGCTCTCAGCTGTGTGGTGGCGGCACGCCCTCCCTAATAGGAAACAGATGGGGTGCAGCCTTTGTTAGCGTGCTCTCAGGGCACCCTCCCACGTCCCCTCAGTGCCTGCCTGGTTGGGTGGAATATGATGAGGCTGTGGTGACGGTTTATTACTGCATGCCACCCGTGCCGGCATCAGCAGTTGGACCCTCCCTGTGACTGACCACCAGGTGCCTCTCCTGATGGGCCACGGAGGAGAGAGAGCCCCATGAGCAAGTCCTGCTGCTCTGTGGGATGCGTGAAGGCAGAGCCCTGGCCTGGCTCCCACACTGTGCTGAGTGTCGAGCTGGCAGTCTATTGTGTCATCCTTGGACCCAAGGGATCAAACACAAGGACCCTGGGCCAGTCAGAGCCAGTATCTGGGAGGTACCTGGGTGTCCCTTAGAGCTCCCTGTGGGGACAGAGGATGGAGGCTGTTTGGCCCAGGACAGCCCACAAGATTCGCCTGGCTCACGTGCTGGCGTAGAGCTTTGTCCTGCATGTATCCCTCGGCCTGTCCTGGGCCATCAGCTCCCTGGTAAAGATGAGAGGCTGAGGAGTCTGGAGACAGTGGGGCTATCAAAGTGGCCATCCTAGGAGTCATGGTCATCTGCTGTTCTACACAGTGCACACCTGAGGGATGCTAACCACAGATCAGTGCTTTGAATACACCAGCCACTCCACACAGGACAGATGGACAGGCCTTCTTGTGAAAATTTACAGCCAGGCCAGGGAGACCAGCTGAAGGCTTGTTCTGGCTCAGCACTGACTCAACAGCAGTGGGTTTTTGTTAGAGCTTTCAGATTGCTAAGCAAAGGTCAGCGGTTCAAATCCACTAGCCATTCCCCAGGAGAAAGGTGAGACGTCTCCTCCTGTAGAAAACCAAGTGCGAGGTCACTGTGAATCAGGGCCAGCTCCTTGGTGGAGGAGTGTGTTTAATGTGTGTGGGTATATATGTGCACAGAGACAGAATGTTCCAGATGCCAAATGGGCCTGTGGTGGCCCAGTGAGCAGGGGGCATCACCCGAGCAGGGGGCACCACCCGAGCAGGGGGCATAGATCTACCGTCTGTTCCACAGGAGAAAGATGGGCAGTTTCCTTCTGTACCGTGTGCAGCCTTCAAAACTCCAGGGAGGGTCCGTTATAAGTTCACTGATTTGGTAGCACATAACAGCAGCACAACCAAGTTACAGAGGTTCAAACACCAGCCACTCCCAGGAGAAAATAGAGACGTCTCCTTCTGTGAAGATTTGCAGCCCTGGGAGCCACACTGAGGAGTTGGAATTAACGGATGACAATAGCTTTGGCTTGTGCTTTCTTGGGAGTGCAAACTCTCACTGAAAACCCCACTCACTTTCATGGCTGAGCACTTGCCCAGCAACTCTCCCATGTCTTCTCAGCTGTTTCTGAGGTCTTCTTAAAGTCACCATGTCATGGGGGCTTCCTGGAGGCATGGCCATTTATCAGGCAGTCGCCAGTAGCTAGAGAGGGCAGTGTGTCCAAGTTAACATTTGCACGTCCATTGCTACAAACCCCTACGCCCTTGGGCCCAGAGCTTCCCCTGCAGTTTGCAAATGGATTTTTATGGCACATTAGTGCTGGAGGAGACTCCAAAGAAAACAGTCCTCCTCAGTATTAGAACCAGCTGTGACTTTCTGGAGCCGGTGACTCATTCCTTTTTTTTTTTTTTTTTTTTTAATTGGGTGGGAGAACCAGGCAAAGGACAGAGAGACTTAGTCAAGACGCTGTTTGTTTTGCAAAGAGTATCCTAGCCACAACCAGCCCAGTGGCACCAGTGTGCCATCGTGTTTATGGAACTTTTTTCTCTTCACAGTTCCAGTTATAAAAACGGAGCCCACTGACGACTATGAGCCTGTGCAGACCTGTGGCCCAGTGAGCCCAGGACTTGATCCTCTCTCGAAGCCCTACTATGGCCAACAGCTTCTGCTGCCGCCCGACCCCAGTGCATGCCTGGTGGCCGGCTTTACTTCCTGCCAGCAGAGAAGCGCTGTGATGTCCCCTCCTCCTGGCACAAGCCCAAAACTCCATGACCTCTCTTCTGCCACTTACACTAAGTGCAGCCCCAGCTCCAGCCTCGGCCACCTCGGCCTCCAGCAGCCCGCTGGAGGGACCCCCATCACTCAGGAAGTGCCAAGACCCAGAGCCGTCCCCCCAAGTGCTCCCCACTCGTCATCTCACACCACACTGCAACCGCAGGTGAGTCAACATCTCAGCAGTAGCAGTCCCCTTGGTTACCAGCAAACACGCTGTCCCAACAGTCCCACTCCTCCGGTGCTGCCTGTCACCCAAGAGCCAACCTATTTGCAGCCCTGCAGCCCAACATGCCCATCCGCAGTGGGCCACCAGCCGCACCAACCTCTGAAGGTTCACAGACATGCGTCTCCAACCACCCAGCCTCTGTCACTGCCAGAGTTGCATGAGGACAGTAATCATAATTTGGTCCCTATTCCTGTAACCATCAAGCGAGAACCAGAAGACTTGGACCAGTTGTACCTGGACGATGGTAAGTGCCCACTGCTGTGCAGGTGTACGGTCAGCCCTCTGACCGTGAGAGAAGCGTGTGCGTATTAACTGCTCTGCAGGGCTGCATGCTGGCCTCACTGACATGTCCCGTGTGGGCAGTGGGCCCCTCAGGGCCATTCGCAAAGATGTGTGGTGTGCCGATCAGGGTCCGCCCAGTGGCAGCGTGGCATGTGCTCTGGTATGCCATCTGGGCCGTGTGGCCAGAACCTGGTGCTGTAGACCTGCAGGGACACATTGGCCAGGGAAAGATGGCTCCACCGTGGGGTGGCCACGTGTGCAAGTGGGCTGAGAAGAAGCTGTCCTGCCTCCTGGCTGCAGGTCAAACTCTGGTTTCATGGGAGCTTCTGCAGCTTGGTAAACAGTGTTAGGAGAACGGCCAAGCTAGGGAGTGTTACTTTTTCAATCTGTGTGGCTATCTGGCGCTGACACAGTGGGACCATAGGGTCCGGGGCTAAGGCACAGGCAGGGGGCGTGGGGTCACGGTGAACTCTGATTCAGTTCGAGCCCTGGAAGGCCTCCTCGGTATAAACATGCCATTGTGTGTGACTGTGCCACGTCTGAGGTTATCTGAAAGGAGGCGCCTTTGAAACATCTGTAGCCGGCTAATTGGCGTGAAAAAATTCTGAATCCTGATGCGTCTTGCTAATGAGTGATAACAAAAGGCCCCTCATTGTTCTCCAGTTGGTTGTTCTGTGAGGAGATGCACTGTGAGGCCTGGCGACATGCAGGCTGTGCTCCGTGTGGGCTTGCAGGAGCTGCCTGGGGCCTTTGATCCAACAGCACCTCGTAATTGAGACTCCTCACTCAGGGCGGCCTGCAGCTCCACTCATTAGGGGCTGAGACAATTAGTGCGCCGTGTCCGGGGGAGCAAGTGGGTGTTGGGCTGGGTGCCTACAGCTCCTGGGCTTCCTGAGGGCTCCCCTTCCATAAATGAAGGTACCGACCGGCACACCTGCAGCAGACACCAGCTCCTGCCAAAGTCACCCTGACTTGAGCATGGAGCACAGCGAACAACTAGACTCCAGAAAGTTCCAGAAGGTTGAGAAAGGTTCCAGAATGTGGCCACCAAGCCTCTTCACTCTAAGTTGGCCCTTCAGCCATCCTCCAGTTGCCTTTCTGTGAAAGTCCCAAAGCAAATACCACAGTTGTCACAGTTTCTGGCACAATCTCTCCTTGGGGGCACCGACGCGTGGGGATCATTTGTTCACATGGATCCTTCCAGATGAACATTAAGTCCTAGGCTGTTTCCCAGAATTGGGAGGGAGTCGCTGCTACCCACCCACATGCTCTGCGCCTTGTTTTACCCAGCGTACTCCAAGGTGTGGGCGCAGACCTGCTGCGACATCAAGAGCCTGCTGGCCTCCGTGACTAGTCAGAACACCAGCTACCCACTAGCTGTTTACTCTGCTCTTCCCCGAGGGTTTCTTGGCGAAGCCAAGCCCAGCCCACTGCTGTGGAACCAATTCGGCAGTGACCATGTAGGCCATAGGAGACCAGAGCTGCTCCAGAGGGCCTCCCAGGCTGGGACCTGGTGGCACGGTGTGTTAGGATCCACCAGCTGAGGGATGGATCTATCTCCTCCCATGGAGACTGAGCCTCGGAGCCCTAAGGGAGGGTTGCCGTGAGGTGGGACTGACAGGCAGCAGCAGGCTTGGTCTGGGGAGCCCTTACAGACCGAGACCACCACATCTTTCTCTAATAGAGCAGCAGGTGGGTTTCAAGAACTGGCCTTACACTTGGGAGCTGAGGGCCGTCCTGTGTTTCTAACTCCAGGCTCTTGGAGAGGAGAGCCCTTCACATCTGCCACCTGTGGGACCCATCTTACAGCTGACTCTCTCGGAGGCTTTCAGAGGCTGTAAATTGCACAGGAGATTGCCTGTCTTTCTCTTCATGGAGCAGCTGGTGGATTCAAACTGCCTGACTTTGTGTTGAAGCACAACTCCTTACCCACTGGTCCCCCAGAGCTCCCTTAAGCGCACTTCTGCTGTGACAAGGCTGTCTTTGGCTCCTGAGAGGCTCTGATCACTCAGGGTCCTTTTGCTCCTCCTTCAGCTGCCCCAGGATAGGAGTGTGCTCTCTGGTTCCTCAGGACGCTCCTAAAGTCCCCATGACCCTGGTCTGGTCTCTGGGACTTTTCTGGAAATGTTTTTACTGACCGTTCCACTCAGCACCCAGACGAGGCCAGTGTAGGGTCGGCAGATCTCCTGACCACTGCTGTGCCCCAGCCCCCTCACCCTCCTCCCGTGCCTTCACCTTCCCACCCTCCTCACGTGCCCCAGCATCCTGGGCCCTGCTGATGGCAGCTGTCTGCCGTCCAGGCTCCACACGTGAGGAATCCTCCACAGAGAGGAGTTATCTGCACCACCTCTCCAGCTGGGAGGCTCCTCCAGAGATGCGTTCTAGCCCATCAGAGTTGCAACATCTTGTTTGATTTCTCAACACTCAGGTTTTCCCCGCCTGCCCTGTGAGCTTTGGCCACTCACTTCTAATTGGGGTGAGGCTCAGTCCTTCTGTGTTGTGTATTTTGTAAGCTCCTATCTGCAAGCCAGAGCACTTGAGTCTCCCACAGAGGCCATGCCCCTGAGTCTGGGGAGGGCAAGCACAGATCCCATACATGGCACAGCTGTCCTGTCTACGCTTCTTGCGAGTTTGCAGCTGACCCCCAGGAATCAGACACTGAAATGCCCTCGTCCACAGAAGCCGGCTGGCAAAAACTCACCTGTCACCCCCATCAGAGTCAGGGGTGGAGGGACTGAGGCCAGGTCCTCCTCCACCCCGCCGCCCTGCTGCCCTGCCAGCTGGGTCCTGACCCTAACCCCAGCAGAACCTATTCCAGCTCTAAAGGTCCCTGGTCTGGGGGCTGCCATGGTGGGACCACACTCAGGTCCTGGTCCCTGGGGATCAGCTGGGTGATGTCCCTTCCTGCTCATAGCACTACTTGGCCAGTGTCGTTGACCACTCGTGGCACAGGACTTCACAGGCGTGGCTTTATTCTAAACGTGAACTTTTCTGAGCATGAGGTGGACCATGTGTACACACTGCTCCCAAAATTGCCCACGTGGAGGGAGCCAGGACTTCTGTTCTGGATGCATTCCCCATGTCATACGAGGCCCTGGTCTCACATGCGTGTGAACACGTGTCTGTGTGTCACGAGCCCTGCTCCCATCACACCTGTACTTTCTGAAGACGTGTGACCACACGTGAAGCCCTGTACCCCTTGGGTCCTGGGCCCCAGTCCGCACGGCCACTGTGAAGCCGTCACAGGCTGCCTGTCCATGTGTTGAAAAGGAGTGCTGACTTTTTGCTGTGGTCTAGGAAGAGAACAAGAGTGTGGTCAGAAAGTGTAAAATACCATGAGTAACCGAAAGGGACAGAGCCCCACAGTGGTCAGGTGCTGCTGGAAAGCTGGCCTGCTCTCTCCGTGTGCACAATGCAACATCCCCTGCCCCGACGCAGGGCCCCTTCTCCTGCACGTCCCTAGTGCGGCACCTGCCTCTTTCCTTTAGCTTTGCGACACACGGTCCACTGGTTGGCTGCCCCACGTGGTGTCCCCAGCCCCTCCATGGGCCTCTGCTTCTGGAAGTCTCCCTGTCATTAAAACAACAAGCAGGTAGCCTGCATGTCTGGGTGTGCGCCCCTCTCTTCTCTCCGCCCCCCTTTCCTGGCTTCAGCCACACTGAGAGAGAATAAAACGCTTTCCTCACGGAAAATTTTACGAATCTGGCACAGGGCCGCGTCTGGGCCTCCTGCTCTAATGAAGATGGAAGGGGTTTGCTCCTGCAAGCAGACATACCGCCCTAGATGCTGGGCTGCAGGCTGCAACGTGCTGGACGAGGATCCAACAGGCTCCTGTGGGGAGACCCCTGGGCCTGGGAGGGCTGTGCAAGTGGGAGTGTGAGACGGCTACCAGCTGAGAAGCCATCAACGGGTCTCTGAGGTTGGGAGAACACGTAGCCCTGTGTTCTGAAAACTCCCAGGACCCAGCATGCTGCTACCAGGGATGGAAAGGCTGTCGAATCCCAGTAAGCTAAGCCAGCCAGTCAGCAGCAGTGCATGCCTCCAGCTGTCTCTACTTCTCCCACCCCATCTCCACGGAGTCCCTGCCTGTCCACCCCGTCTCCACAGAGACCCTGCCTATCCACCCCGTCTCCACGGAGACCCTGCCTGTCCACCCCGTCTCCACGGAGACCCTGCCTGTCCACCCCGTCTCCACGGAGACCCTGCCTGTCTACCCTATCTCTGTGGAGACCCTGCCTGTCCACCCCATCTCCACAGAGACCCTGCCTGTCCACCCCATCTCCACGGAGACCCTTCCTGTCCACCCTGTCTCCACAGAGACCCTGCCTGTCTCCCCTATCTCTATGGAGACCCTGCCTGTCCACCCCGTCTCCACTACTCTGTCTTCACGGAAACCCTACCTGTCCCATCATATCTCCACAGAGACCTGGCCTGTCTGCCAAGTCTCCACAGAGACCCGGCCTGTCCATCCCATCTTCACGAGACCCTGCCTGCCTGTCTGTCCTATCTTCAGAGAGACCCAGCATGCCCATCAGTGTCATCTGTGCAGACCTCCTGTCTTCACAGAGACTTCGTCTGGGCATCTTTCTAGTAGTGTTTCCATCAAACATGTATATGCCCATTTTTAGTTATTGCCTGACTGTCCCATAAGAAGTGTGAGCCACAGAAGCCTAACCCTAACCGTAACCTGTCCAACTAATAACAAGTCCACAGCGGAACCCGTGCACAGGGGCCTCCGAGGAAGGAATTGCTGGTCTGCTCCACAGAATCACTGCGAGAAGCCTGCAGAGTGCAGCTCTCTGCGTGTGGTTGCCCTGGTCAGTGCTGACCTGGGTTCACAGCTGGTCTTTTCAGTAGCTAGTGTGGAGCTCTGGCGGCTTGGTGCTAAGGAGTTGTGCTACCATCCCAAATGTATGCAACTCAAATCCAGGAGTTGCTCTATGTGAGAAAGATGGATACTCTCCTCCAGTGTGATTTACTACCTTTAAAAACCTGTTGGAGGGCCAGCGACGGGTTGGTTCTGACTCAGCAGTATGCAACAACAGCATCGTGGAGATTGGGCTTGATGGTCAGCCAGCAATGCCTTGAGAGATGGTGGTTTGGAAAAGCAAAAGCCACTCCCTGGGTTCATGAGCCACTCTGTGGGTCTCGCCAGCATGGTATTTGTGAACCTGCCCCTCCAGGACAGAGGAAGGTATCAGCTGAGTGAAGGTCTCTGGGCAGGTGCCGTCTTGGTGGTTGCAGACACAGCACTGCTGGGAGCTGGCTTCTGAGCCCTGTTAGCCTGCGTGAGGCCATGTTCGGGCTCGACCCAGCCTCAGGCCTGTGGAAGGAAGAGCATATGTCCTCACCAGCGTGTGTGGCACCATGCGGTGTAGGTTCGGGGAACCACCTCTACTGCCAGTTTGCATCCATATTTTCAACAGAGACACACAGTCACTGGCCTTTCCTTGTCTTCACAATAGGTGTGAGCTTGTTGCTGTTTGAAATTATGAACATGGAGGAAGGAAGAGGTGGAGAGGAGAGAAAAAGAGGACTAGAAAGAGCTGCTGGGTTTTCGTATGTGTCCATCTGTTAGGTGCCAAAGAAGACATGTGGCCAGCAGGGCAGAGAGGTGGCTTTGATGAATAGACGTGGCTTTGTGCCTGCAACGTGGGAGATGTTTGCAGTGGCTTTGTCATTCATCACAAACTGTGAACAACAGAGGGGCTGCCAGCCGCACTGGCCGTGGCAACGTGCCGAGCTCCACCACCCTGACACCTCGGAGCCCCAGGCAGACCTGTCCCTGCAGAGCAGCCGCACTCGGGAGCTGTGCTCCGCGCAGGTGTGTTCAGGTCCTGGGCCAGCAAACAGCACACTGCTGCAAGTCACTCGAGCGTGAAGCAATAAACAAGGGGTTTAAAAGCATAATGGCTGCATTCAGGAGTCCAGCGGTAGGTGGAGGCAGGGCCACGGCTCTTTAGGGAGCGTCGTGGCCAGGACAGGTGAGGCCACATCTACATCTGTCTGACAACTGTGTTTGTGCAAGCACAGCCGGGTCTGTAACTCCAGCCCTTGGCATGCTCTCCTGGAGCTCTGGGTCCAGCCAGCCAGGCGCAGACATGCTGAGTGAACCTGTGCTGCTGGATACCTTTCTGCCTGTGGTCCCTGGAAACATGGAAGGGTTGACTTACAAATGTCACCAAACCCAGGGAGAGGAGGTCATGGCACTTGGGGGATGCAGGCATTGTCGAAGCTGAATATATCAATCATACAGTCCAGTGTGACACATTTCTACCAGAAAATAGCAGACCAACAGTGAAACTTACTCACACTTGATGGACAGCCTTTCCCAAAAGACTGTTGACATGTGTCTTCTCAGTTTACCAACCTAACCTGGAAACAGTATGCACACCACCTTGCCGGTGGGGAGACACCTTGCAGGTGGGGAGAAATTAGAGAGGAGCTCTGGTTGACTTGC